CTCTGTGTTTTTGTCCTCCGTGCTGCTGGTTTTGTCAAGTAGCCCTGAATTACCCTCTCTAGCAACAGTAAAAACAAAATCATACAGGTCTTCTGGGTCAGCATAGGGTCCCCTGCTCCGTCTGAGGCAGCGATGTTTCCTCCCCACTGCGGGTTTCAGCCGTCTGCGTGTCTTTCGAAGAACAGGGTGACAGGACAACTGCCCTGAGCCACAGCGAGAGGAAGGTCCCCCCTGAATGCTGGTGTGGTCACAGGGCCCCTCGCTGCTGGCCTCCTCACACGGTTGGTTTTGCAGGGGAGAACTTCTTGGGACAGAGAGGACAGAGTTCAGGTGAGCATCAGCCTCCACGGGGGCCTCAGGGAATCCCTTCTGGTTCTCACCATTGCTCCCCTCCCTCTCAGCGTCACGGCCACTCTCTGCTCGCTCCTGCACCAACTCCTGGCTTGGGGCTCTGTCCTCTCTGCAAAGGCCACACTGATAAGCGAGGGCATTTCCTGAGCGCCAAAACCCAGCGCTCATGCTCAAAATGAGAACGAGAAGAACCGTGTCGGGAACAGGCCAGGAATACATGGACACCTGGCTGACAGAGCCGTGGTGAATCAGCCGGTGGAGGAGCAAAACCAGCGAACGCCTGATGGACTGGTCGGAGGAGAGGAGGTGCTGGAACTTCAGGATGCGCAGGGAGCCAGCCAGGTTTTCCAGCACTTTGTGGTTGTGCTCAGCAGCGAGCTCCACGGCGCCCTGCAGCATGTTGCAGAGGGTGAGCTGGGACACGTGCGGGGAGCTGTGGAGCAGCGGCGAAAAGTGATGGTCGTTGAGGCGCCAGTCGGAGGAAACGTCCAAGACACCGTGGAGAACATTGGAGAAGAACGTTTCAAGGAACTTCTTCCTCCAACAGGTGATATTCTGCAATTGAACAGGGCATAGGAACAAAAAGTTCAGCCTTTTTCTCGTTCTTTTTAAGCTAAATTTTTGCTGTCTGCTAACCTGGTAAATGCGGTGTCCAAAAACCCCTCCTGCTACCTCCACTGAGACCACCTTTCTACTTCTCAACATCCTTCCTCAGTGTATTCCTTGAAAACCTGAGTTTACTCCCATGGCTCTCTCCATTCTGCTTCTGGCCCAGTTTAAACATATTCAGTGGTTTGAAGCTGAGCCATGTTTTTGCCTATTGGAAACCACGTCATCGGCAATTTTCTTCCTGAGTATCTATTTACAGGCTGTCATTAAGTTGCCTGCTAATGATTGTTTTATGATGACTCAATGAAGCTGCTTCAGTTTTCCTACATAAAACCATTCTGCAAACTCACTGTCTTCTCTAAGTATTTTTCTTGTGCTTTCTAAGACAAGAGCACATGTTTTTACCAGCATAGGTGTAAGCACAACATAAGATACTATTTTTATCCTTTGTTCCCCTGAGAATCTCTGAAGTCAGAATTTATTCTTTTGGCAAACTCACTGTTGGGAGATGAAGGATGTGGCTGCACACCTCCGTTCCTTTTATGAACCCTGCTTCCCAAAATGTTTGTGCTACCAGGGTCACGCCTTGGTCTGGAGCTCTACGAACGCTTATAAACAAGTCCCAGCAATCGCTTAGAAGTGGCCAGAAACAAAACCTCATGGAAAACGGCACCTGTGTCGTGCCCCTTCTCCCACCTTAGCATTTCCTCACCTCTGAGTTGGGTGGCCTCGTTTTCATCACGTCATCCCACAGCTGGCGCCAGATGGGCTGTGTCGAGAGGCCTGGGGGGAAAAACCATCAACGGGGTGCTTTCACCCTTCTCCCCATCCCAGTGCTCTGCCCTGGGGCTCACTGGGGTGCCAGAAGCACAGACCCAGACCTTGCGGCACAAGGACAGGCAGGGGGAAAACCGCCGCCTTTGACGGGGCACGAGTTAAAAATGTCAGATTTTGTTCGTCCTCAAAAGGAGCGAAGTTACAGCAGGGCCTGAAGCGGCGCGGGAACTCTGCCGGGGTGTGGGACAGAGCACGAGGGTTTGGATGCAAGAGATTGTCCCAGCCCCGGTGGGCAGGGACGGTGTTCTGGGGGTATCCCTCCTGCACAGAGGGTTCACCCCCCTGGGTGGGGGCTCCCCTCTCCAGCGGAGGGTCCCTCTAGTGTGGGACTCGTCCCTCCAGGTTTGGGGGCATCCCCGCAGCCTCCCACCCCATCACTTTGGGGCCCCCATCCCTCCCGCCCGGAGGTCCCCCCCGCGGTCGCCGCCGTCCCCGGCGGTGTCACCTGCTCTCCGCGCGGCGCCCTCGGCCCGCTCGAGGTGGAAGATGGTGAGGAGCGGCAGGAGCCCCCGCAGGAGGTGCCCGGGCAGCGCTGCGGAGAGGGAGAAGGCGGCAGGGTGCGGGCAGGCCCGGGCCCCGTGCCCCGCCGCCCCGCGCCGCCCGCGCCTTACCCCAGACGTCCCGCTCCAGGGCGCCCATGCTGCGGCTCACGGCGGCCGCGCTCAGCGCGAACAGGCTGCGCGGCCCCTCCGCCGCCATCGCCGCCTCGGGCACCGCCCGCCCACCCCGCGCCGCCATCTTGGGAGGCGGCGGCAGCGGGCGGCCACGTTGGGGAGGTCGCGTCGGGCGGCGGGGCCGGACGAGCGAGCGGCGGCCGAGCCGAGCCGGCTCCAAGGCAGCGGGCCCCGAGAAGAAAGGATAAAGCGGACAGGGAGCGCAGCAATGGCCGTGCTGGCGCTGTCAGGGGCGCGGCCGCCGGCGGCGGCCATGCTGGGAAGGGCCGCGCCGCGGGGGGAAGCCTCGCCCTGGCGAGGAGGCGCTTCCGCTGCCGGTGCGGGCAGGGGCAGTTCCGGCGGGTGACCCTGCGGAGTCCTTCTGTGCGGCGGGAGCGCGATGGGACGCGGCGGGGAGCCCGAGGTGAGCGGGGGATCCTCCTCCCATCCGCCCGGGGGACGGCGCACACGGGGCGTTTGGGCGGCCGTAACGCTGTGCTCTCTTTTCTTTCCCCAGGAGGAAGAGGAAGAGTTGGTGGTAAGACGGGGAGCCGCGTCGGTGACTGCCAGGCTCGGGGGCCTCGGGCCGGACGGTGCTGGAGGCCCAGGACCCGGTGGGGAGGGGGGTTGAGCCCGAGCCGCGACGTGGCTCCCTCCTGAAGCCGTGGGGCTCGTGGGGAAGCGCCGTGAGGGGGTGTCCGGGTGCTCAGCGCGGCCCCGTGTCCGCAGGATCCCTTAACCACGGTGCGGGAGCACTGCGAGCAGACGGAGAAATGCGTGAAGGCGCGGGAGCGGCTGGAGCTGTGTGACGCGAGGGTGTCCTCCCGGTCCGAGACGGAGGAGCAGTGCACGGAGGAGCTCTTCGACTTCCTGCACGCCAGGGACCACTGTGTGAGTGCGGCGGCCCTGTTGGGGCTGGGGGCAGAGCTGCCTTCAGCCACGCTGCTGGCAGTGCTGGCAGGTCGAGTGTGACATGTGGTAGCTGTTCAGTCAGAGGGAGCTCTGAAAAACTGTGTTTTCTTATTAAATGCTTGGTTCCTTCCTTTTACATCAGATCCAGCTGGGATTCAGTAGGTTATTAAACAGTTAAATAAGTCATACCCATGGTTTGTGGCCTGCAGATGGCACTTGGCTGTTTCAGTCTTTGACATTTTAAAGTTTAGCCTTTTTAACCTGAGCTGAAGCTTTGTAAGACGTCTCATTAGTTTTCTTGAGTGACTTGTTTCAGAACCATGAGAGGAACTGCGGGGAAGCTGCAGGGCTGTGGGCATTGGTGGTCCAGAAAACCAAGAGGCAGGTGGTAACACTGCTGGTTTCCATCCCTAAACCACGAATTACTGAGGTCTCTCTCTCTCTCTTTTCCAGGTTGCTCACAAACTTTTTAGTAAACTGAAGTGAAGGTGGGCGTGAACGTCCACCTGCTTCCACAGCCAGTGTCAGCGGTTCCTGGATCACAGTTCTGCTTCCTGCCGTCCATCCTCCATGCTGAGCATCAACAAAACAGCTTCCTGGCAGCGTGTCACTGCTTCCGTGCTCCTGGAAGATGTGAAGCTGTGCAAAAAAAACATGTTGATGTTCTGTAATTTTCCATATTAAAATGTTCAGAGTTCCCATGGAAGTGCTTTCTGTTTATTTCCAGGTTCTTGTGCTTCTGATTTGCACTGGGTTCAGGTGAAATCAGTGGGTATCAGAGCCCAGTTTAGCAGAGAGAGTCATCCTCACTTGTGGGAGTGTCCTTTTTTTTCAGCCATGATATGCAGCAGCTGCAGCCCAGTCCCACGGGGAAGAATTTATCTGTTGGAGCCACAAAGATTATTTTCAAGACCCTTTTCTAGGAGAGAAAACTTCCTTCCCCACCCTTGGGAGAAAGCTGTCACTTGTCCCTCACTGTCTCCTGTTGCTGCCAGTGGCTGGAAGAGCCTCCTGGCTGCAGCCAGCTTTACCTCCTTGCCCAGGAAACCAACAACGTGGCTGTGGAGGCGTATGGTGTTGGTTCACCTTCTCAAACCCTGACCGGGTCACCTGGGGGACATAAAGCCTTTCTCTGTGAGTCACCAGTCCCTTCTTGGTCACCTAAGACTGTCCTGTCTGTGCTCTTCCTCTTCCTTTTGTGAGCAGGATGTTCAGTAGCAGGAACACTAGGACATGGCACAGGGCAGAAAAATTCTCAGCTGTTCTTCGAAGTGAAATTAAGCCTGCCACCTTTTTAACTTGGCTGTTCTTTACCCATGTAGTGGTCCATAGTCTTTTTGCTGGTGGATTTCAATCTTGATCCCTAGAGGACTGAAACAGATTTTTATTAGGGTCAGGGTAACGTTACTTTCAGGAGTTTTTGTTGTGCGAGGTCCAGCCGCGCGCGCGTTTCTCCTGCCGCAAAGCCCGTTTGTTGCTGGATCCTTCCCAGCCCCAACCCAGGTGAGTAATCACAGAACCACAGAACGGTTGGGTTGGAAGGCACTCCAAAGGTCATTTAGGTACAGCCCGCTGCTACCAGACCCGGATTCCCAGAGCCCCATCCCTCCTGGCCGGGATCACTTCCCGGGTCCCGCCCCGGAAGGCGCTGTCGGGGAGCGATGGCGGCGCTGCTCGGGGGGGCGGCGGCCGCGCTGCTGCGGCGGGGACCGGGACCGGGACTGGGACCGGGACTGGGACTGGGAGCGGTGCTGGGAGCGGGGCAGCGCCGGCACCGGCACAAGGAGAAGTGGGTGAGCGGGGCCGGGGGGGTCCCTTCCCGGCGGGGCTGCCGGCGCACCCGCACCCCCACCGCGCTGCTTCGCACCCGCGTGTCTCCCCGCTCACCCTTCTGCACCCCATTCCCCCCTCTGACCTCCCCACTTCGCCCCTCTCGCTGCACCCTCGTTCCGCTGCTCAGTGCGCGGCCGTTCTCTCCCCGAGGGCCCACCCCCTGCACCCAGCCCCTTTCGGCCATCCATGGAATCGTGGAATCGTTCGGCCATTCATGGAATCATGGAATATGCCGAGTTGGAAGGGACCCATCAGAATCGTCCAGTCCAACTCCCGGCCCGGCGCAGGACTCCCCAAGAATCACACCATGTTCCTGAGCACATTGTCCAAACGCTTCTTGAACTCAGATAGCCTTGGCCACTTCCCTGGGGAGCCTGTGCCAGTGCTCAATCACCCTCTGGGTGAAAAACCTTCTCCTGATATCTAACCTAAAACTCTCCCGAATCAGCTTCGTGCTTTTTCCTCGAGTCCTGTCACATTCGTGCTCCTGAACCCTCTCCAGGGCACCACCAGCCTGTGGATGTAGGGGTTCACCTGTCCCTGCCACTTTCAGGGGCAGTGGAAAGGCCCTGTGGACTTCTGGCAGCACAGAATCCAGTGCTGGATTCTCCCGGAGAAACGTGGAGGCTGGGTGGAGGTACTGGGATGCCGAGCTGTTTTGTCTTTTAATGTCTCTGGTATTTTTCCCCCCCAAGGCTACCACGGCCCCCCGCATCCCATCCACACGGCTGGCCCTGCACCACTTCGACACGAGCTACAGCCTGCACCTGGGGGAGCTGTGGCCCTCTGTCCGTGCCGGCCTGCTCTGTGAGCAGAAGTACGGCGCCCTCCTCAACAACTTCTCTGCTGTCGACCACGTCACCCAAGAGCTGGAGCTGCTGAATGCCACCGATTTCGTTTCCGAAGCCCTCCAAAAGGCACAGCAGTCACAGCGGGGGGCGGCTGCGAGGGAAGCAGTGAGAGGCTCCCAGGAGGGCAGTGTTCAGGGCAGGACTGTGATACAGGCAGAGACAATGACACAGGCAGAGACATCGCCACCGTTTCGTGCCTCCATCAGCCCCAAAATCAAGTGTTACACCTTCCCCAGGGGTGACATCACACGCTTTTGCCCTGCACGGTGAGACATCCCTGGACAGACCACCCACTCTCGTTGCCAGCCTTGGGGGCTGCTGCTTCCCTACATCCCAGTCCTCACTTCCAACTGCTCTTTTCTTTTCCCCTTGCACATTTGCTTGTGTTATACAAACTGGTGCTTTCCAGGCCAGACATTTTGGGGCTCCTTGGTTATTATCTCATGGATGCAGCATCTCTCCTGCCCGTCCTTGCACTCGATGTGCAGCAGGATGACCTTGTCCTTGACCTTTGTGCAGCTCCGGGTGGCAAGACTCTGGCTCTGCTGCAGACTGGGCTTTGTGTAAGTGGAGGTGGGTGTTCCCTTGTTCCCCATCCTTAAACAGGGCTGGAAGAGCGTGCTGTGCTCATTAATGTCTGATTGTTAATCATTTCTGAGTATAAGAGTTGGGAATCAGGTGTGCTTTTGCAATTTCCAGTGTTCCTGTTGTGTCCCTGTAGGGCATCTGGCAGCCAACGATGTCTCCATTTCCCGGACAAAGAGGCTGCACCAGATCCTTCATAAGTATGTTCCCAGAGAAATCAGGGAAACTGTGAGTGTCACATCCCACGACGGAAGGGACTGGCAGGATGTGGACGGTGGCACTTTCCATAAGGTAGGTTGTTGGGAACCGGTGAAGATAAACCCTCTTTTTGAGGAAGGCAGCAGCTTATCCTACAGTATAACTGTGTAGTTTTCCACAATCTTAAATGCAGAGAAAGAGAGAGGACTAAGACACATAGGGAGTAATATTTCCTCCTGTTATCCCTTCCTTCAGGATCCAGTGGGTATGTGCATCCAGAGTTACACATTTATTTGCCTGTGTAATACCATGTAGAAGTCCTATTCTTGTCCATCACCTGGAAGGGGTTAAGTGTGAAGATTAGATAATTCTGTTTTCTCAGCCATGTCCAGCCTCAGGGGCTGGGTTTGATGCTCTGGGAGGCGTCGCTGTAGGAGCACTGGCTGTGTGTGCTTCTGTGACGTCTTCCAGGCAGACACCCAGAGGAGGAACATTAAACGAGGACATGTGCGAGTGCGGGATGTTTTCCACCATCTCTGGGTCTGTTTGCACATTCCCAAAATGCCAGAGCAGCCAGATGATTACAGTTCAGTGTGGTGCACGCCCGTGCTCAGGCACCGGGAGCTGCTTGTGTGTGGTGAGGGTGGAGGAGGTGGGCACGGGGAAGCTGCACAAGGGGACTCACTGAGCTCGACCTGGGCATGGGACTGACAGGGACCTCTGCTGCTGCAGGTGCTGGTGGATGTGCCCTGCACGACGGACAGGCACTCTGCCATGGAGGAGGACAACAACATCTTCCACAAGAGGCGAACCAAGGAGCGTCAGATGCTGCCCATGCTGCAGCTGCAGCTGCTGATGTGAGTGAGCTCGATGCTGTGTCCTCGTGCTGTTTGTGTTACAGTAGTAGCTCTCTGTGGCCAGCACTGAAACCTCTTTTTACTTTGTCTGTCCCCAACTGGGAAATGCGGAAACCATGTGTAGTTTACTGGAAGAGCAATAGCTGGAATGCATCAAAGCATAATATAAGTGTAAGAAGGTGCAAATATTCTTGGTCAGATCACAGGTCCTGCCTGTCCCCAGCAGTAGCTGTAGGAGCTAGGGAGAAGGGTCTAAGGAGCATGATAGGTATTGTGTTGTCCTTTTGGGTGATGGTCTCCCAGATCCCACTGATCAGCCCTGGAGGATTCCTGAGTGCCCACATCTCCCAGCACATGGGCTGCTTCATCACCCCATTTTGCTGGGAAGGCTGGATGGACTCACCGTGCTGTGACAATAAGGAAACAGATTAGAGAGTCCCATGGCAGTGCTTGAACTGCAAGAGTCTCTTCCCCTCTACATGCTCTTATCCCATTCCCTTGGACATGACTGCAGGGTTATACCTTCCAGCTGCTCTCCAGTAGCATCTCTCCCATGTTAAATTCATTATCAGTCTAAGCATCCATTTGACTCATTGCCCTGGCCTAAAACAGTCCTCACGTTGCAGTGACACAAACTGCTGAGTCTGTGGAGTTCAAGATTTGTCTGTCACTTCCTATGAGTCACCTTTTGGCTCCCCAGTTTTGGTGGGTGGTAATGCCTGTGCCCCACACTCCTCTTCTTCCTGTGATGATGCGTGTGTTCATCTTGCCTGCAGGGCTGGGATCCTCGCTGCCAAGCCAGGAGGAGACGTGGTGTACTCCACGTGCTCCCTCTCCCCGCTGCAGAACGAGTGTGTGGTCGAGAGAGCGGTAGAAATTGCAGAAACCCAGTTTAACATCAGTGTCCACGCTGAGGACTTGAGCCACTTTCGGATGCTCTTCCAGGACACGTTTTCCTTCTTCTCAGGCTGCCGGCTGGGGGAGCTTGTTCTGCCTCACCTCACAGCCAACTTTGGACCTATGTATTTCTGCAAATTACGTCGGATGTAGAAGGGGCAACAGACTATGTCTGTTTGCTGTCAGGAAATATCCCAAATTTCCAGGGAAAGTACAACTGCTTTATATTTATTTTTCTTTTTAAAGTGTCCCAAAGGAAACCTGCTTTTTTACTGCAGGCATAGAAAATAAATGAGAAAGACCTGCTGTGAAGTCTCCTGAATATTTTATCTGTTTGAGACTGAGGTGTTTAATCTAGGAAAAAGAGGTCTTATCAGAGGGAGTGATTTATCCATCTGTGTGGGGCAGGATAAATGGCTCTGTGTGGGTGCTGCTTTCTCCCTCCTGTCTGACTGCTTTGATCCTACATGAGCAGGTTTGGGTTAACAAACACCATCTGGGGATCTCAGTCTTTGTCCCAGATCTCACCATCTGCATAAATGAGTTGCATCTGTCTCTGCTTATCTCCTGCCTTCAGAAAGAGCAGCCTGACGTCCTGAAATCAGAGGTTCCTAAGAATGCCCCTCCTGTGAGGCTGAAAATATGTTTGTGATGCTGGAGATTTGGTGCTGTGGAAAGGCCAGTGACTGCTGCTATGCCTCACAGACAGGAAGGCTGTGGGAAAGTGTGAATGCTCCTGTGCAAGATGCCATTTAATGTTCAGGGGCAGGTGTTTGTATGATTCTGAATAGTAACTAATAGAACCATAGCCATCAGTGAATGATTACTGGAGTTTATGATAAGAGTCACTTAATAGCTACATTTTTATTTCTGTGAGGAAAATACAGTGATGCATAGGGTGGGCTAGGCTGTATCCCTCACAGGGCAGCCCATATGAAGTTACTCCAGTGCCAACAAGAAAGTATTATTGAGATTTTGTAACCCTTTTCTCTCAGCACCACCCTGCTTCTGCAAGGGGCAGCATCGATGGAAATGGGGGTGAAGGGGTGAAAACTCACCCATGTCCATCCTTGCAGGAAGGTGCAGTGCATAGATTTATCATCATTTGAACCCAGCTTAAGCCAGTCCTGCTGTCTGCATGGCATCCTGGTTCCTTACAGGATCCGTGCTTATTGGCAAGGAGAGAGGTCAGGAAATGGTGTTTCCTTCCTCCTTCCCTCCTCTTTGTAGTCTCTGCACTGCCAGTGGCAGTCGTGCAGTGCTGTCCCTTTGGCCCTGAGGGGACCATGGGGGCTATGCCTCTCTCTTCTCACGGCTGAGGGTCTCCACCTCCTCCATGAACCGCAGGCAAAGCTCCTCCTGCCATGGCAAGGCCACGCACTGCACTGCCACGGGCATCCCCACGGCTCCTGGCACAGCCTGCAGTGGGCACACAAGCAGTGAGGGGTTACCTCAGGGGCTCAGACTTCCAGCAACTTCTGGACACCTGGTGTAGGCACGTGGCTCATCCCAGAGAGTGGGGAGGTTGTGATTTGAGCCCTACTCTTCGAGTGAAACTATTTCTTGAATGTCAGTCATCAGTGTGCTCCACCACTTTCCATACCTGTTTCAGCTTCCTGTCCTAGGGGTCATCACAGCATCCTTGGTAAAGCTTCAGCTCTTCCTCATCCACATCTGTCACTGTGCTGATGGGTACAACCCCAGCAGGGAAGTTCAAGATGTTGTACAGCATCGTGGAGGAGATGGCAGCTGAGAGCAGCAGAAGAGAGAATCCAGCCAGTCACAGCCTCCTGTCTTGTTTCAAACTTACACATTCCATGTTCACTGAGGCCCCTGAGCACTGTGTGTCTGTCTCCACCTGCTCAGATAGCTTTATGGTTGTTACTTTTCCTTCCTAATTCCCATAAAATGCTTAGGTGGGTGGTGAAGCTCCCTGGTACCGGTTGTTTCTCTCCAGTCTCAACCACTGTGGTCCCTCCCAGGAAGGTCCCAGACTCACTCACTGAGGAGTTTTCCGGGGTATCCCGTGGTGAAGGCAGGCCCCAGGACAGGGCGCAGCACAACGTCCAGATGGAGTTCCTTCCATTGGGTGATGAACTCTGAGCAGTACACCCTGGGGAGGAGAAGGGAGATGACATGAAGCCCATGCCCATGCCTGGGGCATCTCAGCTTTTTCAGGGTGTGCACCAGGCTCTGGCACAACTGAGGAGGCAGCAGCAGTCAGCAGTGCTCGAGGGAAGAGGCAGAGGAATGCATGTTTGCCTCTACAGCATGTGGCCAGGAATTGGAAAGGTCCCTCTTTAGCCATTCCCTCTCCCAGGACAGCCTTTGTTGTGCTGGGACTGTTGAACAGGGATGTTTGTGCGTGAGCCGTGTGGGCAACCGATAAAGTCCTGTCTGAGCTGACCCAGAAGCCCATCTACCCATTCCTTTCTCTCTTTTGTGCCTTTCCCTCTGTCCTGTCTCCTCCCCAGCACCTCCTCTCCTGCACAACCCCATTCCAAACCGATGACTTTCCAACCTGGCACTTGCCATGAAGCCTCAACTTGTAGCAAGATGCCAGAGAGGAAAGTCTTCAAAACATACCTGAATTTGATGGTTATGATTCCACATCCCCTTCACTGACCTGCAAGTGGAAATCATAGCAACATCTTTAAGCTTTAAGAGGAGGAGGAATTGCTTAAATAGGCCTCTGGGTTGATAAGCCCTGGTGATTTTAGCAGTTACTTAAAACAATACAGCTTTCACAATCTAAAGTTTCCTTTGGCATCTGGCCAAGCAATTAGCAGCAAATGTCTGGAAGTGCTGGAGAGAAGGTTTCTTTGATGAGTACTCTGGATTTAGTACTCGTTCTCTTCCACAGGCTTCCTGTATGACCTTATCTATCCAAATCCCTCAGTCCTGCCAGGATATCACTAAGGGCAGTGCAGCACTAGGGAGCTGTGTGCCTAAAGGCTGAAGCCATGTCCAGGATAGAAGGACAACCCCTGCAGAGAGCAGGTGAGAGCCTGTTGTAAATCCAGTCCACCCCAAATATGGACACTTAGAGGAGAAGGTATTGCCCCCTTTTCCAATGCCTTTGACAGTAATTCTTTAAGTGACCTAAACCACTCACTTGTGACACCCACCCAGCTGGAGGTAGATCTGCCCCCATGCTGACACCCACTGCAGAAGGGGGCAAAAGCTCCAGGTGTTAGGGAGTAACTAATTTTCTGGTTTGTTGCTTACAGTTTCCATACATTCCCCTTCCCAAATGTCTACCCTTGCCTTTCTCTCCAGCCTCCTTCATCTTGCCCTTCAGAGAGAGCACAGCCTCTCTACACTGGTAGATTCAATCACTGCTACAAAGGACAGAGGTGAAAAAACCTTCTGAAGTTGGTCTGCAGCAGAGGGAAAGGAAATGCCCTCAGTTATTTGCTGCAGCAGTTTCTGATCCTTTCTCATCTTCCCCTAAAAGTCTTCAGCTGTTTGCTCCTTCAGCTGTTTGCCTTCCTCCTCCACTCTTCTCTGTGTTCTCTCAATCTGATAAACTACATGCCCACTGAGGAGGCAGACAGGATAACTACTGATTAGCCCATTTTCTCCCCCTAGTAATTAGGAATTGTGCCCTCAGAGAAAGCTATGTTACTGGAAACCAGTACTGTAAAGACAACTGGACCCTTAAAGAAGCTGTGCAAGGGGTGGGCAGGCAGTGAGGTGGGATGTTTCAGATGGACTCCAGATAGGTCTTGGTTGTCTCAGGTTTTCCTAGAGGAAGACATAGGGCTTTTCACAGGATACAGAGAAAAGCAATTAAAAATTCTTGTACCTGCCAGGATCCCATTGACAGGGCCAGTCACTCCAGACAGGCTTTTGGAAAAAAAGAAAGAAGTATATTGTCATTTCAGTAATTGGGAGATATTCCCAATACACTTGAATAGCACAGCGGGGCCTTCAGTTCAGGACCAGAACCAGGAGGAAATTATTTCAAGTATTTGATTTATGTGAAATGAGAAATTTTGGCCAAAAGGAAAAAAAACCCTCAAACTGAAATCCCAACAAATCTTAGTTTTGTTTTAACCAAAAATGTCCCATTTTGGCATTATTCAACCACTTTAACCCCCTCTTACTTTTATCTCCAGGCTAGATTTACAATGAAAACATGTCCATTTCCCACAAAATCTAACCATGCTGTCAGCTGGGAGAGGTTTTGAGCAAAGCAAGCCACCTCTTAAGAATCATCCTCTCTATTTCTTCCAAGTACTTGTTGAGTACCTTCCCCTTTGGCTGAGTCTGGCAATTAGCAGGGTTGGAAGGGCAGACCCCAGCACCCACCTGAGCCTTTCTGCTGTGGGTTTGAGCCCACACAGCCCACAGAAGCTGGAGGGCAAGCCGATGCTCCTTCTCTTCCCTGACACAAATACAACTCCATAGGTGCACTAGCTCAGGATCAAACCCAGTCTCCTGCTGCCCAAGTGAAGCCATCAGTGGATGTTCAGGGAGGGAATATTCATCCCAGATAAACACAGTGTGAGAGCCTTCTTCAGTTAGCCTTGGTATTTGGGGCTTGCTTTGGGCTTAGAGCCCTCAACTTTAGTGCAGCCTGTACTGTGTCATGTATCAGAGGAGAAATCAATAACTATTGATCCCTGGATTTTTTCCTGCTGATGGAGGTTTGTGCTGGTTTTGGCTGAGGTAGTTTATTTTCTTCACAGTAGGTAGTAGTGGGATGTGTTTTGGATTTTGTGCTGTAAACAGTGCTGGTAACACAGAGATGTAGCTATTGCTGAGCAGGGCTTACAGGGAGCCAAGGCCTTTTCTGCTTCTCTTGCTGCCTCACCCGTGGTGGGGCTGGAGGTGCACAAGAATCTGGGAGGGGCCACAGCCAGGACAGCTGATCCCAACTGACCAGAGGGACATTCCATGCCATATGGCACCATGCTCAGCATGGGGAAAGAAGAAGGAAGGGGGGATGTTCGGAGAGGTGGTGTTTGTCTTCCCCAGCCACCGTTACGCATGATGGAGCCCTGCTCTCCTGGGGATGGCTGAACACCTGCCTGAACATGGGAAGTAGTGAATGAATTGCTTGTTTTGCTTTGCTTGTGTGCACAGCTTTACCTATTAAACTCAACCCACAAATTTTCTCATTTTCACCCTTTTTATTCTCTCTCCCCCATCCCACCTATGGGGGAGGGTGAGGCAGTGAGTGCCTGCTGGGGTTAGACCACAACAAGGTTTCTAACTGCCAGGGTTGCAGCTGCAACAAGGTGTGGGGCCACAGCCTCAGACATGGCCAGGTTTTCTGTGGTGCCTCCCCCATTCTCCATGTCCCACCACTCCACCACCCAGCCCAGCTCATGGTGGGACACTTCACAGGCACAGAGGGAAGAACCTTGTGGCTGATGTGATCCTTGATGCTGATGGGGATGCCATAGAAGGACGGGTTACCTGCTCCCTGAACTGCTGGACAGCCTTTGCCATTTTCTTCAGACCCTCATCCAAGGTTTTCTGAGCTTCTTTCATTTTCTTCTGGATCATCTTTTTGCCCACCCATTTCCAGACCACCACAGCTGCCACTGACCTGCCAAGCAGCGTGAGGGCAGCAGAAGTATCCACCTTCCTCTGTGGCAGGAGCTGCCTCAGCTGCTCCTGGATCATGATGTGGCCTTCGGGTCTGCAGGGATGGAGTGAGAAAGAAAAGCAAGGCAGGAGCAGAAGACCTTTCCTGCCTCCCCAGACCCATCCCTCCTCTCAGCACCACTGTCTTGGGTCAGCAAATAGTTCAAATAGTTCAGTGTGAAGCTGACCCCTGCAAAGCTGCCGTCTGTGGAGCGTGCAAGGGAGAATGATTAACCAGGAAACGGAAAAGGTGACGTTTGGTCAGTGAATCTTGGGGTGTTGGGTTTATAGGGGCTTTCTGGGCTGTGGGAAACTCTCCACTGGGAATGGCTAAGGGGTCAACTGAACAAAAGAAACAAGGAAATAGCCGTTCTCCTGTTTCCTGTGTAGCCTGAGAGGACAATGGGAAAAGGGGAAAAAACAGCTTGAAGTTGCAAGACTTCCTTGCACAGGGATGGGGAATGTATGCCGAGGGGATGCACAGCTGTGGGGTACCCCCAGCTCACCAAATCCCTTATGCTACTCCCATGGTGGCCAGAGGCTGTTGCAGGAGGTCCGTGCTCAGCACTGCCGTGATGTCTGCACGCACCGGGAGAGGCCGTTCCACTCCATGACGCTGGTATTGCTTTAGGAGTGGAAAATTCCACAGGCTTGCAGGCCAGAAGCAAACTATTTCCACCAGACATTGGAATAGCTGGTGTCTGACATCTTTCCAGCAGAGATGACTCTCACTACAAGCACTAGGAGCCACACACTTAGCTGAAGGCAACAACCCAGCCAACATCAGCCATGGTCTGTCTGCAGTCTGCTCTGTTGGTTTTGGATGGTGGGTGCTCCCTATGGGTTCCCCCTTTGAAAAAGTATTTGGGCAGCTATGGATTGTGCATTACAAAACTTTGCAAGATTCTAGAGGAGTGTGGAACTGGGTATGGAAAGGAAGCTGAAGAGCCCTCTCTCTTCAGGGCTAGGTAGTCCTCTAGTGCTCATTTTTTCATTGTCATGTTCGTTCTTAGCAGTTATAAGAGTTCACTGTTGTTTTCTGTCACAATTTGTGTCAGTAGGGAATGTTCTTAGCTTAGTTCTTAACTAGGGAAATTTATGGACTCTGAACAAAATTGTCTTTGGCGTCCTTGCAGAAACAGTCTGGAGCTGACGGGAGTTAGCGGCGTAGTAACAAATTAAGCCGGCCTTTTACTGTGTCCCTTCCAGTGGCACCTTCCTTGGAGGATGCCTCCTCAGCTATGGCACTGCAAGGGGACATGCCCGCAGCCCCTCCAGCTCCTACTCCACGGTGCTGGCTGCAGCTGGTGCCTCTGGAAGGCACACGTTAATGGGGTCAGCACGCGACAGTACCGAGCCCTCTCCAACCTCCAGGAACCCACGCAAGCGCTTCCTGAGACAGAGGTGGGCTCTTGGCCTGTGTGACAGCACCAGAACCCCTATGATGGGCTGAGCAGATGTGGGAGGGTTTTTTTCCTGTGCTGGGAAGTGTCAGGGCATTGGCCTCCCACATCCACTTGCGCATTGGTACCTGTGCTCTGATCCTGCCCTTTAGACACTTAGTAAATGTTTAACAGAGACAGGGACAGCTGTGTCCAGACTGACTTGGCATTTCAAAGGGCAGATTTTCAGCAGGCAGAGCTGCATTTCCAGATGGCCGGATGCTGCTGAGGAACCCCCTTTTCCTGTCAATGTGTGAGCATCTCTGCATCCTTTGTGAACCAGAGGCAGGGCTCCTCCTGCCACCACAAGGCCACACATCCAAGGGAACCTAAAACAAGGAAGCAAAGGGATGTCCAAAGTTAAATCTCAAGTCCATAGCAGGGGAGATAGACCTACCTGACTTACAGGTCAACACTCACTTGTCCACAGTGTTTTGTCATTTGAATTGATCCAGGTCCAAGGTCAAACCCATCAGTGGTGTTTAGATGAAAGCCATGCATGCCCCTTTTCACAAGAAGAGTCAACTCATAGCAGCTGGGTCTGGGATTTCATTGTAGCACCCACGACATCTCCGTCACTGTGGACTATCCCAGAAAAAGGCAGTCAGACAAAGTCAGACAGACTGTTCCTGTGCCCAGGAAAGGCTGCACCATCTTTGCTTGCAAGAGCAAAAACTACATCAACTTACTGTCATCACGCTCCATTAACACCTTCAGGTCTTAAGCAGAATGGGTTTTGACAGAAATTGTTTATAACTAAGCTGTTTTCCCTCTAAATTGGTAATAAATATTTTTAAGTCAGTTTTGACTCCATTTTGATTAAAATGATGAAGAATAAATCCTTACAGCTGCATCTTGTGTTCATGTATTTGTAACCAAACACTCTGGTGCTCTTTTTCGAAATGATTTACAAAATGAGGCATGTTAACTATGCTGCTCTGAAAGAATATTAAAGACATTTCACAAAATACTGAAATCATAGTGATTTGGGCTGGTCCCCTCTGGAGAACTTGTTGCAGTTGGCTCAGAGGGCTGAATAAATGTTTTCTGGGGACTCTCCAGTTTCTGACTCATTTCAGCCTGGAATATCTATTCAGAGCATAAGACTCTCCTCAATTTCAGTCCAACTCCACCAGCACTCACAGAACATAACAGCTGGTAAGAAACTTGCCACTACCAAATCTGCACCTTTCCAACAATCAAGAACATCAGTTGAGAGGTGAGGGTTTGTCTCTATCAATGCTTTTCCATGTTGCTCAGCCAGGACTCCTGTTGGCTTTCCCTGAATAAACTGCAATAGGATGGGAAGAGAGACCTCCCATACCAAGCATGACACCTCTGACAGCAGGGGCTGCTCTCTCTCCTAATCATCCCTACATCTTTCCCACTTTTGTGAGTATTGCACTATTTTCCTTGAGCCTTTCCATAGCCAAGTGGGTTGTACAGATCCTACTTACAACTTCTCCAGCAAGGTAGAGACATGATCAGCAAAGATGCTGTAGGGAGCTGTTAGTTCTTCACCAGAAGTCCAGGAGCATTCCTACTTCTTCCATCATGTCTGGTGTCTTGCTCACATCTGTCCCCACTGAGTGACAGCAGAGCCTTCAGCACCCTGATGGTGAGGGACTGGGATGTTCCCAGCTGCTCCATGGCTGGGCACAAAGCTGACAGCAGGAAGCTGGGCTTTTCACTGGTCTCCTATGGGCAAGCAGGGCAGCAGGGAAGCTGGATGATTTGAGTGAAAAGGAGAACAGTGGCAGGAAAAAACAAACAAACAAACAAAGGAACAAAACGAGACTGACTGCTTGGCGAGATGAGGATTTGTGCAGCAAACAGCTGTTTCAGACTGAAGGACGTACCAATCCTAATTTTGGGGGTTTTTTTTGTGTTTCAAGGGTGAGTTTTCCTATGTTCAGGTGTTTCACTTCACCTCCTTTTTAAACATTTGCTTTTAGCTACTTCAACTACCATCTCGAAACTTTGTTTGAAGTGAATGTCTGGGATCCTGGAAATGTTTGTGTCCCTAATGTCCTCTGTCACTGCCTGCTACATCACAGAGCTCTGTGTGCTTCAGATACTGTAAGGGGACAACTGACCTGTTCTAACAACTCATGTCCTGCTGGTATCAGTTTTCTAGGGAGTCTTATTTGCTCCTGATGCTGTGACTATATAACATTGTGACACGCTAAATAAAGAAAAAATCCTGCAAAGTAAAGTAAAACCAAATGAAAAAGCTAGATTGCCTAATGATTCAATCTCTCAACCTTGCTTGGTTATTTATCTAGTCATAGAATGAAATATGGGTTGAGGAGGGCAGATCTAAATTTTTATCAAAATCAAGAGGGAGGAGGAAAAATAATCAAAGCAAAGACCACAGCCAGACTGTTGTGCTGGAGATGAAAGAAACTAGTAAAAACAAAGCTCTTTTGGCCCAAGCAGCATTTGTACATAATTCTCTGAGACAGACCAAAGCATGGACTTTGGTCAGTGCCAGGCAGCTGAACAAGCACTCTGCAAACACACAGTGCAGGTCTGCGAGGGCTGCACAGCCTGAGCCAACAGCTCATGGTGAGGAGCTGCAGAAGGCTTGGAAACACAATAACACTTTGCTGGTGGGTATGGGAAGGGGCTGACATTCCTTCTCCAGTGCGGAGGAGGTCTGGAGGAAGAACTGTGCTGAAAACCTGAAGTTTTGCCCTACTACAGGCCTCTCTCTCCTTGTGTTTCAACACCTGAGCTCACCAGATTGCTCTCAGCATCACCCTCCCTACTTTCCCCCCACATTTATGCAGCAGTGACAACTGATATCATGGACCACCTGACTTGAGAAGGGCTCCAAGTTTTACTCAGGAATGTGCTTTACTCTCTGTCCAGCTGAGGCACTTACCTGCCCTTTAAATTCCTGACCAGACCTCTAAATCAGGTCCAAGCTTGTATCTTGTTTCCCTCACACCTTGTCCATCTTCTTCTGGACATGTCTTCTCCACCTCATCCACTTCAGTGCCAGGAGAGCTGTAGCTGAGCTGAGACCAGGGCTGAGAGCATCCAGGCACTCTGCTTCAGTCATCTGCTGGATCATTGTGAGAACTTCCCTTTGGGTGCTGTGTCCTCGGAGCTAGTGCTCTGGGATTCTGAGATCTAGTGACTGGCTGGAGGCAGGAGGAAAGTGGGAGGAACAGTAAATCTCTTCTAGAGCCATCCACAAGGAGCGGCTGGAATGCAGAGTGCAAGGATACATGGGGAAATTCCTTTTAGAAATAGGACTCTCTCAGCCTTGCACAGGTACAGAGGGATAGACAAGCAAAGGACATTATTCTTGCCTTGAAAAACAAGGTCTGTGCATGCTCAGATCTATCCAGGAATACTACCCAGGCAGGTTACCTGTTTAATGGTGAGCTCCCATCCTCCCTATGGGAGGACAGCTAAAAACCTTTGCTCCTGGCCTGAGATAGTGATGGTCATCCAGCAGGATCTCAGTGGGTGGTGCCCCCAGCAGCAGTCCTGCAGAATCAGGGCATCTCCTTGGAGAAGGGCTGTGCCATGGATCTTCTCCTGACTGTGTGGGGATCAGAGGATGGTGAGTCAGGCTGTGTGACTGTGTCACGCTCACTGTGTGACTCAGACCTCCCTGTGGCCATGGGAGGTGGCTGGATGACTGCAGCATCCCTGCACTGCCCCAGGGAGGCAGGTGAATAACAAGGGCACTGTCACCCTTGGCTCTCTCCTCCTGTTGGGAAAATACTGCCTCCAGCCCTGGTGCCTGGAGAAATATGGAGGCTTGGAGAAGGAATTATTGCTAGTGATCATTGCTAATGATCGTGCCGTGCTTCAACACACGCCTTGTTTCAACACACACTTGCTTATTCCAAGCATCTGCTTCATCACTCCCACCTTTCCCTCCAGTGTCTTCATTCACCTTGAGAGCAAAGGGTGGGTCAAGAAACAGCACACAGTTGTCACGGTGTTCTTGGAAACACCAAACAGTGTGAATGGCCTAAGCGCAGGCACAGAAATGCTTTCTCAGTTTTCCCTGAAGTGTTTATAGGCAATAAACCCACATCTTTTCCCATTGTTTAACTGGAAGAAATGATGAGGAACAGGAGTGAAGACAGACCAGTTACCATTTCTCACAGAATATTAAGCTTTCCACTACTCCCTGAACAATTAAACTGCTGGATGATGTGGAGATCAAGGGAGCAAATGAGTTCAGGAAGGGGACCAACAAGTTTGTGGAGGAGAGCTCTCCTGGCAGCTATTTAAACCGATGGGCTGACTGCAAGTCTTTGCCAGAAAGTCTCTTAGCCAACCAATGGCACAGCCAGAGAGGGAATTCTGCACTTACCAGGTTATACTCTCCCACAATCGTCTGCTCCTTTCCGCTGCTGGAAGTAAAATATTGCAATAAACAGCTGTTTGGTCTCACACCATACAACAGATATTTTTTCACTATTGTCATGGGGTTCCTTTGTTACAGCATTAACTCTCATTGCTTTCTTTTGCTTTTTTGACTCAGTTTAACAATGAAGGACAACTTAGACAGGGGTGAGATTTTTGCTATTTTCAAACAGCATTTTGTGCCAGTTTATTGAAATGTTAGTTCAGAGCCTTGCTATCTACTTTTGTATCGGGTAGAAGGTGGCTGGAGTGAAGGGCAGGCAATGAAAAGTCATCACAGTGAAGGCTGGTTCCCAGAAATCACACATTTCTCTTTGTGTTGTGGGCAAGCATCTCCACCTCCTTCATGAAGCGAAGGCACAGCTCCTCCTGCCACGGCAGAGCCACGCACTGGACAGCCACTGGCAACCCCACAGCTCCTTCCACAGCCTGCAAAAGTTAAGGACGGTGCTGAGTCAGAGCACCAGAGCGCCCGGGGAGGCACGAGACATTATGGGAAGAGAAGGCAGAGGAAGACAAGCAAGGGAACAGCTGTCAGGCTGACACACACCAGCCTTGCTGCTGCACCACACACAGGGTAGTAACACAGAGAATGCCAACTGCATGGCTAAACCAGCTCCCACTCTCACCAGGAGATGTAGACAAGCCTTGGGACAATATCCCAGAGGTGTCACTGTGTCAGTCATAACCTTCTTCTATGATTTAAGCCTTTTCCCCCCTGACCTCTTTCAGCCTCTTATCCCAAGGGTCTCTGTAGTGCCCTTGGTAATGCTTCAGTTCCTCTTCGTCGGCTCTCGTGACCGTGCTGACCGGCACCACCCCAGCAGGGAAGTTCAGCACGTTGTATAAATTGGTGTAGGAGGTCGCAGCTGGAAAAGATCACACAGAGCATGCAAAATGGCAAAATTCAGTGTGTGGGGCTAGCAGTGGCTTTCAGATGATAATTCGGGCTGCAGGAATTGTAATCTGGAATGGCTGGACCTGAAGAGACCCTGAAAACATGCTGCCTCAAAGGGACTTTTTTGATGGAGAGGTTTGAGGGCCACATGGCTGCTGAGACCAGAGAGAGACCCACACCTTCACCTGTCAGTCATGTGGAGATCAGATCTGCTCTGGGAGGGACAGACATGAGTATTTGATCTGATTCACAGTCTGCATCTATATCTCCTACTCCCTGGGGAAAAGTCTCAGCTATCTTTTCAAGATATTCCTGATGTCCAGTTATGTTAACATCATCTTGGGGATTTTGGATCCCAAAAGGTCATTGCTAGGGAGATGGAGGACCCTGACTGTTTGTTGGAAGCTATAGAAAAATGCCTTTTTCTGCCAGTCACACGCAATGGGCCTTTCTGCTTTTTGCAAAGTCTTGGGAAATGTGAGACAGCTGCATTCAGAAGAGCCTGGCCCTGTACCAAAGTCTACCACCCCTTTGACAGCCGCTCCTCACTGCCACTCTCTGCTGCAAGAGTAGCTCTTGGGCTTTCTACAGGACAGACAATGAAGGGAAACTCACTGATGTACAACTGGGGACAGATGTGCCACTAATGGCTGCCCCATAATAATCCAACACCAGCAGCTCAGATGAGGTGGGGGAATGAGAAGACCCACTGAGGTGACTTCTCCCTTGCTTTCTTCCACAGAGGGAAACTGAGCAATGTACATGGTTTGGGGAATGTCCAAGAGACCAAAATATCTTGCTCCAGCTCTGCCCACAAACACGGCCAGGGATGCACCCAGAGACACCTCAGTGGAGATTTACCAAAGAGCTTCCCAGCATAGCCGTGGTTAAAGGCTGGCCCCAGGGCAGGACAAAGGATCACATCCAGCCTCAGCTTCCTCCATTTGGCAATGAATTCCGTGCGGTAAACCTGGGAGGAAAGATAGAGGAGATGACAAAAGTGTCTGTTGGACAGCAGTGGCAGGTCAGTGCTGACACATAGGAAAAGGAGGGGAAAAAACCTTCCTGGATACAACTAAAAAAATAAGATAAAATCTGAGCTGTGCTTTGAAAGGGTCCTTGTTCTTCCTCCTTTAGGTTTCCTGTCAGAATACCATGTGCTACCCAGACCTAGACATTAATGCTAGGTGTGCATTTCTCACTTGATTTCGTCAAGCATTAACCCAATCCTTCCCATGAACAGTTTTGTTTTTGAATTGTATTGAATGGAGATCAACAGCAGTTTGAAGAATTAGGTCTGGCTGACTGAAAATCACATTTCCTAAAAGATTTGGTTATTTCAACAGAAAGTTCTAAAAGACACGAATCCAAAATATTTTCACAAATACTTCTTTCATTCTGCCTGGGTATACAGGCGAAGAAAAGAGGCAGCAAGAGACAGCAAGGCAAGCCTCAGGACATCCCCCCACAATGCAGGAGGCAAAGCTTCAGGATTGTCCTGCAGATCCAAGAGAGACCTAGGTTTGTAGTTTGGTTTACTACAGCTTTGCTGAACATCAGGCGACGAATTAATCCATCCTCAAAGAGCTGTTCCACTTTGTCTTAGCAAACAGACACGGATGGACCACAGCACAGTTGTTTCTGCAGCCACAGTCTGGTTACATACAGACACATGTCCCATGGTCCCATCCCTGTTGTGCACAACTGTCTCACTCCAAGTTTTCTGTACAAGAGTCTTCCACATCTCTCACAAAAGCCCTGGCCTTGGAGCTATTTTTCAGCCTGACCTCGATTTCCACCTGCAGTCTGAGATTCTTCCTGATGAAAGTTCAACAAATGAGATGGGTTTCCAGGAAATACTGGCAGTGTAGCTACCCTATTTTTTTCTTTTTTTCTGAGAAAAAAGCTGGTCACTAGCCAAAA